AGCCATCCGGAATCAATTTAACAGGGCGAGGGTGTGAGGGTGACGGTCTGACAGCATTTCTCGGCGTCGGACTGAATGGCCTATGTCGGTTAATAATTTCCCGCTGCCCCATGTAACTTGATCGCGGTTTTAAACAAGCACATTCAGGAGCACCAGGTAAATATTGTGAATAGTTGTGAATAGCGTCTGTTAGTAGCGGTGGCTGAGCGTACCCAACAATTACTGGCACATTAAAATTATGTAATGGTGCGGGCGGAGCACGAGGATACAATACGGGAGGGGAATTAGGATGCGGTACGGAAAGCCCCAATGGTCTTGGCAAGGGAGTGAATGGTGAATGAACTTGTGAGTCGTTGGGTCCCCGATTACGTCGGTTCTGTGTTGATACTTTGGAGTGCTTCTTAAAAGATGGTTTCCCTTCCATCAGTTTGAAGAAATTTGTACACCTGGAAAGAAACCGGTCGAGAGCGTGAAAGCAAAACGACGGTAGCAATAACAATGAGCCTATAACGACCGGAATCTCATAAGGAATATACACGATAGAACCATTACAATACACCACATTTTGGGATACTGTCTGAAACGTCCGTGGTATCACCACATGACGGAAAAACCCACAGTAAGATGCACTGCGTCTACCAAACCACTGGCCACTGAGCAGTCAAATCAAGACATGTTCCCGTGGCTGTGTCACGGGACTGTCACAAACCGCGTTGCGGCGTCAGTGGTTTTAGCATGAAATCAAAATCGGTTTTAAAATGACCCCTGTTTTATGATGAATCACAAAGCACAGACCAGAGCACAAGTGGGATTTCGGCCAAGCGATGACTGCGTTGACCAAATCCTCACACATCGTCAGGCACTATAACACCATCATAAGCACAGGTGACTGACAAGTATGGATTTTCTGGATCTCAAAGTGCACTTGACTGTGGACAGGTCCATTTTGAGCAGCGTGTTTAAATAACAAAGAATGCCCCGGAATCCCATGGATACTAAGTTCTTTGTTTTCTCAGATTCACGGAGATGAGTACTGTTGGGACGGTCAGATCCTAACAAACAAGTCAGCTTTTTGTAATATCTCATTTCCTCTAAGTTGCAGCCAACCGAACCGCAGGGCTCTTTATTCCATTGATTCATCAGCAATATAACCAATCTTCATCCGGTGTCCTTTGTCCTCTTCCTTGAGGCTTTCTCATTCAATTACTTAGTTTATGAAATCACGACAGAATAAGTTCCACCAGTCTCTTGAATCACCCAGCAAGCCCAGACACTAGTATACAGGAGGCTCTACAAAAGTTAGCATGCTAAAGGGATACACACTCTCTCAATTGTGACTCTATTGTGGGAGGACGCTGGAATGTTCTCAAATCGTTGTGCCCAAATGGCGGGTGATGAGAAGTCCATTTACCAGGAATATGAAGAGGACAATGTTCTTGTCTTTGGTAAGGAAAGGCCACAGCCGGTTTTTGGATGAGTCGACCAAGGTCTCTCAGAATGTCTCTGCACCCACAAAGTCCACGTTCATGCTAGACATACAGTCGATGGGCACACCACTTATCTTTCTAGGGGAGTCACTCCAGGCTGCGGAGCGTCTTACATACTTTTGTTGTTTAATTTCGAACAGTACTGTGACCGATGAGCTCGATGCATGAGTCTATAAAGGTTTCCTCGTGTTTGCGAATTTGAGACAGCTCTGACGACGAAACAGGAAGTCTCCAAATCTCAAGTTACATGCGTGAAAAATCGTAAAAATCATTCAGCTTTAGCACCTTTTCCGTGCCTAACTGTCATGTCGTTAGAAGGAAGCCCGAGGGCTGGGATACTTTCATGTTGACCAAGCCAGGACAGGGGAAGTCGCGAGGCAGTGGTCGAGTTCGAACCCCGGACCTTCCGGTCAGTAAATTAGCGCCATAACCACTGAGGTTTCCCGCTACACTATGGGTTGTTTGTGTAACTGTGAGACGTGGATTCCGTGAGCAGCAAAACTGAAACACCTTCAGATCTTTGATATCCGTTGTCTCTCATAGGCTAGTGCCATTGAGTCCACAACGAGACAAATGAGAAGCGATTGCTTGGTTGTGCGACAAAGATGTTAATCGAACACTGTGTCAAGCACTACATACTGCGATAGTTCGGGCATGTGGTGCGAATGCTGAATTATCGTTCAACGGAAAGGGTTCTGGTTTCCTGCTCGCCTTCCTGGATTGGGGGCAATGTGACACTCTCCAGTTCATGGTCGAAAATGCCACACTACATGGCTACTGGTCCAGCCAGTGAGTTTCTATCCAGACTGTCTGAAAGAGGTGTAGGCGCCTCGAAATGACTATGGAGTGCGAGTACTGAGTTCATATATTCCTTTACCACAAGGGAAATTTCAAACATTATGGCTACAGGTCAGAAGACTGACGTGCTGTGGATGATGATGATGGTCCTTGCGAGATAAGATGCACCTATAAATGATACAGTTTTTTTATTGATAGCGTATGGCGCCGGGCCGACCGCTTGAGTGAAGTCAACGTTCTACACTGTGTGCAGTTTTATTTGAGCGCTGCATTTACCAGCACGGGCCTTACATTACTGGTGGAAGCACAGATGCGGTGGATTCATACCAAACATCTGGTGACTAATATAATAGTTGAAAGAAAATATCTACTACACGCTGACATCGCCTCAATATCTTCGCAATGGAAATCATCTTTAACAACAATAATACTGACAACTGGAGTGATCCCCAAAACCTGAGACTGTAACGTTTGCGGAGGACTCGTATGGGGTTACGCGTGCTGCAGCTCATGAAAAAAACAACGTAGTCTTGAAACAATTACAAACATAAATGCCTCTGGTTCGTAACATGTGGCATCGATGAATAATGTGGTGTTATCTTCGTCTTTGCCAGTCACCCCCGTCTTTGGACGTGCGAACAGAAATAAGCTTGACATAAGGACAGTGAATAGCCAGCAGTGAACTGACTGGTCGTCTAGTTCACGGGGCGTTTTCTTCCTGAAGATAGTAAGACGGAACTCGTAATGACTATTTGAAGGCTTTTGTTGCGCCATCCTGAAGGAGGCACGGAGAACTACACTCGTCTCGGTAAACGGTGTTTCGACATGCGTAGCACATGACCGAGCCATCGTGGTCGATGATACTGGATGCTTTCCCGGATTGAGGTGCCTGCAGCACAACCAAATACCCGTTTTCTAATCGCCTCGTTACTGATACGCTGACGCCATCCGAAACCAGCCACGCTTCTGAGGCATCGGTGGTCGAAAACCTGAAGACGCCTCACATCATCTACCCGAAGAGGCCATGTCTCGCACCCATACAACAACACAGCCCTTACTGTAGCCTGGTACACACGACCCTTAAGATCCAGTGAGATGCCTTTTTGACGCCACAAGTGACGCAAATTAGCAAACGTGATTCGAGCCTTTGAGATTCTTGCACTGACTTCATCAGACACACTTCCGTCAGAGCTAATACAACTACCGAGGTATGTAAAGTTTTCCACAATCTCCAGTGGTTCTCCTTGAACTGTAAGGGATATGTTCGCAGATGGCACGTTCTGAAGCAGGACTTTGCACTTTGAAGGTGCAAGGCGCATGCCAAATGATGGTATGATGGCGGTCAGTTTATTCAACAGGGCTTGTGCTTCGCTAAGGTCTTCAAAGATGAGGGCGATGTCATCTGCGTACTCCAGATCGACAAGGCTCTCGCCAGCAACAATTTGAACACCGGAGTTTTGAAAACCGTCCAGTGTTCGCCTCATTATTTCATCGATGACGAAGTTGAACAAGAATGGGGAGAGTGGACATCCTTGTCTGACACCACTTTTTGTAGGAAAGCTTTTGGAGAGCTCACCATACACCCTCACCCGCCCAGAAGTATGTGAATATAGAGATCGGATTATGTTTACAAACTTCTGGGGCATACCCTGTTGAGCAAGTGTAGTTAACAGAACTGATCGATCAACAGAATCGAACGCACCCTTGAAGTCAAGGAATACCAGGATTGTGGGTCGTCTGTACATGTGGCGTTGCTCTAACACCTGACGGAGTGTGAAGATGTGGTCAACGCAGCCTCTACCCGGTCGAAATCCCGCTTGATTCTCACGAGTCAAGACTTCGCGTGCCGCCATGAGACGACGAAGAATCAATGACGCCAGAAGCCTTGTCACAACAGGCGTCAAGCTAACGCCTCTGTGGTTGCTACATTCACTGCGAGTACCCTTTTTGAAAATGGGTACCACTATCGATTCACCCCAGTTGTCTGGGACGGTCTCCTTCTCCCAGATAAACCCAAATAGGCTAGACAGGCACTGACTGAGGAATCCACCGCCATCCTTGAAGAGAGCAGGTGGAAGGTCGTCAGGACCAGCAGCGCGATGACGCTTGAGTAGAGAAATGCATTCGGACACTTCTGAGACTGAAGGCGGCTCCATATTTACGGTCCACCTTTCTGTTGAAGGCCGGGTTTCTGGATTGGGGTTAGCAGGTGGCCAGCTGAATTGTTGTTCGAAGTACTGTGCCCAGCGATCCAAACGTTCTGCTTTGCTGCATATCAGGGAGCCATTTTGGTCCCTGATTGTTTCACTGACAAGAGGTTTCCGAGGACCAGTCGAACGAATCAACTGGAACAATTTGCGCACGTTTCCAGCATTCTTTGCATCTTCCATTTCTTCGACCTTTCGGGTCCACCAAGCTTCTCGGTCTGCGCGGACACTCAGTTTCACCTGGCGTCGGATGATGCGCCGGATGGAGTTGTGGTGGCGACCAGGTGGGATCTGTCGCCGGGCCTCCAGAAAAGACACGGTTCTATCAGAGATCCAATGCTTGGATGAGGTTGGCTGGGTTGTACCGCAAGCAGACGCTCCTGCTTTGAGTAACGCGTTGGATATTTTTTCCCAGTGGCCGTTTATATCCGACACCGTACCGTCCGGCAGGCATTCGAGGAGCTGTTTCTGATAGTTTCGTTTGGTTTCTGGGTCAACTAGCTTCTCAATGGCTAAGCGAGGTGTGCGCGATTTGCGTACACCTGAAAAGCGCAATGAAAAGCAGCAGCGTACAAGTGCATGGTCGGAGTCCACGCTGGTGTTCCAGAAGGAGCGGCAGGCGGTGATCGACCCTCGCCACCGATAACTGACGGCGATGTGGTCTATTTGGATTCGGCGCTGGTTTGATGGTGGGCACCACGTTGTCAAGCGATTTCCGCTGTTCCGGAAATTCGTACTGCAAAGGAACAGCCTGTGATCGGCACACATCTGAAGTAAGCGGTCTCCGTTGTCCGTGCGTCTAGTGTCCAAACCAAGACGACCACCCAATCGGGCCTCAGCAGCGCTTAGTCTACCTACCTGGGCGTTCATATCACCAGCAACCACAACGATATCTGAGCTTTTAGCCTGTTGTAGAAGGGCACCTAGAGCGTCATAGAAACTGTCCTTGGCAGATTCAGAGCTACAGTCAGTTGGGGCGTAAGCAGAAACAATAAACAAGGTGCGATGAACCTCACTTCCTCTAGATTCTCTCACCGATGTTGCCAAACGAACCGCACAGAGGCGACTGTTTACGGGTATCCAATCAAGCAGAGACGCTTCCGCTCGTTCGCTCAATACAATACCCACCCCAGCATATCCAGCTGCAGCGGCCTCTGCATCACCAGAGGTGCGCAGTCGGAACCTGGAAGAGAGCGAGGGGGCAGTCATTTCGATTACAGTACTTGCGTCCTGCGTCCTTGTTTCTGACAGACAACATACATCAATACAGAGGGAATCCAGCGTACGCGCAAGAGCCACCTGTTGACCTGCTTGCTTCAGTGTGCGAACATTGAAAGTGGCTAAGTAGACAGGCTTTCGGGGTTTGAAAACAGACTTCGAAGTGTTTAGGGTTGTAACTGAACTCGGACGTGCAGAAGCTGCAGCTGAGTGTGATGCAGGGCGAGCAAAACGGTCAGTCCTAGAGCTGGGACCTGCGGATAAAGTATTCAAATTTGGGCGGGGGAGGGTGGAAGACGGAAAACGTGAAAGTGTAAGAAGGGAGGCGTCAGCAGTAGCATGTTTTCGCTTACCCGCCCTGCTGTATGCAGCAAGTAAGGCGACCCGGCTGATGGCACCACGCGACGGCCGATGTGGCATGAGAGTATTGTTAGCTGTGTAGGTCATGGTTGTACGAGGGCTGGGATACTGCCAGGGCGCCCACACCTAGACAGGGGACGATTAGGATCCTCAACCAAAGCCTTTGGCTCAAAAGCCTAACCGCAAGGCAGCGGTGTTTGGCGGGGAAATGCAAATGCATTACCATTTCTACGGAACAAGTCGCCATAAATGTTCCAACCCCCAACCTGGAGGGCCAGGAGACTGTGTTCGTCACCATTGACCAACCCGGTATGAGAGACTCTGTGAGTGTCGCGCGGACACCCCTCAGTATAGCTCAATGGGTATCTGAGGTACACAAACCGCCACACCACGGTAGGGTCCAGTCTCCGCGTGATGCTCAAGGGTCAGGGATTCGCGTGCCACCGTAAAACGATGGAGATATGTGACAACAAAAGCTTTGTCGCAATAAGGACCAAGCTAACATCTCTATGGTTACCAGTTTGGTTGTAAGATGGGCACTATTATTGACTTACCCCAGTTATCTGGAGCCGGCGTTTTGTACCAGATAGACACAAATAGGCTAGAAAGGCACTGACTGATGAGTTCGCTGTAGGTGGAAGGTCATCAGGAGCGGGAGCACGATGACATTTGAGGTTGTACAGCTTTGGCAGTCCGCCTTTCAGTTCAAGGCCGGCGGTACGGATTGAAGGCAGCAGATGGCCAACTGAATTGCTGTTCGAAGTATTGTGCCCAGCAGTCCAAACGCTCTTTTGCTTAATATCAGAGAGCCATTCTCACTCCTGATAGTTTCACTAACAAGAGGCCTCCGAGGACCAGTCTGACGAACCAAATGCAAGAGCCCGTGAACTTTTTCAGCATTTTCTCTTCCGTTGCTTTCATCTCTTGAGTCCACCAAGCTCTGCGGTCTGCATGCACATTTAGTTTTACCTGGAGCATAATGATACGTTGGGTTGAGTTGTGGTTGCGGCCAGGGGGAATCTGTCACCGGGCCTCCGGTCGTATCAGAGATCCAATGTAAGGACGAGGTTGGCTGGGTTGTACTACAAGCGGAAGTTCCGGCCCCAAGGAACACCGTGGATATCTGTCCACAATGGCCGTCAATGTCCGACATAGGGCCTTCCGGCGTTTGAGGAGCCGGTTCTGAAAGTTTCTTGACTTCCGTGTCTAAAGCGTTCAGCTGTAGCACCCTTCCAGTGCCTAGCTGCCATGCCACCCGAAGGAAGCACGAGGGCTGGGATACTGTCAGGTTGCCCAAGCCTAGACAGGGGAAGTCGAGTGGCAGAGGTCGGATTCGAACTACGGACCTTCCGGTCAGTAAATTCACGCTCTAACCACTTGGGCCGTCTCGCCCCCACTTCCGTGTCTACTAGCTTCTCAATGGCTGAGCGAGGTAGGAAAAAGGAAGGTGTGTGAGTTTTCTGTAGATCTAGGAAAACTCAATGAAAAGCAGCAGCGTACAAGTGCACGGTCGGAGTCTAAGCTGGTGTCCCAGGAGTGGCAGGCAGTGATCGACCCTCTTCTTTTCACTCTAGGGCTTTAGATATAATTAGACCAACCTTATGGTTGTACGGCAGTGAAGCATCACTTTCAACACTGATGTTGCTGCCTATGATGAATTTACTCACCGGAGAGTCCATGGTTAGAATTCCACCTCTACCTCTCGACGTCCCCTGTCTAAACTTGGGCGACCTGGCAGTATCCCAGTCCTTGTGCCTCTCTCGGGTGACTTGGTAGCTAGGCACCGGAAGGTTGGTACGGTTGGACGATTTTTTTCTGTGATGATTTGGATGCGGAGCTGGTCCGTTGGTGGGCACCACATGGTCAAGCAATTTCCGCTGTTCCAAGAAATGGTACTCATCATCATCATCATCAAAGACAGCAACATCAGTGTTGGCACTGATGCTAGTGGGGGAGGGAGGGGACCTAATGCTGGCCTATGTCGAGCATACTGAGGTGCCTACACCTCCAACCGCTCAAACAGACAATCTGGAAACAAACTGACAGCACGAACGCCACTGACATCGATTAGCCGCCATTTCTTGTAACGTCTCCAGCCAAGCACAGACGGGGTCACGGGGACCCCATCCTGGAAGTCGCACCAGCCTATGGTAGGCACACATTTGAAGCAGAGGATTTCCATTTCGTGCTTTTCGTTTCCAAGACGACCACCCAAATGGGTCTCAGCACGCTGTCTACCTATCTGGGCGTTCATGTCCTCTGCAGCGTCAAAAAGTATCTTCGGTACTGTCCAACGTAATCTCCTAGAGTGCCGTAAGGCTAGAACTTTTGGAGTAACAGAATGTATGGAACTTGATAGGATGCTTTTGGGAAGTCAAAAAATATGGCGTCCGATGAGCACTTCATCTTTGGCTTCTATCAGACTCTTCATGAGTACGAGTATGCTCGTCACGCAAAAACAGTTTTGGACGAATCCGTGATGCGCCGAGGACATCAAATTGAGGCGATTAAGAATCGCCCGCCTCAGAATGCACCCCATCACCTTGCACCGTATGATAGTGAGGCTACTAGGCCTGTAACTGCCGGACGATAAGCGGTCATTAGAATTGCAGGTGGGTATGTCAATCAGTTTCTTCCAAGCAGACGGTCAACTTCGTCGAGTGACTGCCAAAAAATCAGGTAGAGACGTTTTGCCCAGCTCAGCGATGTTTCCTTCAAGATCCTTGAATGGACCGCATCCGGCACCAACGCGCTGGATGGTTTTATCTCGTGCAAGAGTTCACAGATTATCTTCCTCCGTGAAAACCAAGTCGGTGAGAGGAAGTGTGTAAATTCGTCTTATCAAGATCGGATGTAATGGGGCCGCCGGGGCGGTATATACGCCTGTTGTACCATCTGTACACTTCAGGTAGCAATATGGGGTGAATTTTCTGGACAACGGCCCACTTTTCTCTCCTACCGAAGCTGGTCACGGAAGATATGCTGCCTTAGAAGTCTGTGAGACAGAAGTTTAGATTCCACGTCCGAAGTTTGATGTTCCTAGCCCCGTAACAAACAAAGTCAGAAGCAGGCACACACGGTATCCCAGGGGAGCCTTGATTATCACCTGATCACCAGTGTATTTCAGTGATGATAACCAGATCCAGAATGGATGCTATTTGGCCTGAGCGGTATCCGGTGGGTGCATCAGCACTCCAAGTCCAGGTGCTCTGTTGGACGATTTTAGACAGCGCCGGTGCGCTGATGTTATTACCACAACCTCGGAAACAAGTTATCGTTAGTTCGTCACATACAAATTGGACCTTCAGGATAAATACCTCATCTTCGACTGTATAGTTATATATAGTCACTGAATGGCGCTTTAGGTATCACTGATTTGTGTCAACAACACTCCCATCATATGCATGCAGAGACCGTGTAAGGCGCCGGAGATTATATTTTAACAAGCATAAAAACCTTATGCAAAGACGGGGAGCGACTGGAACAACCACTTAAAAGCGCTGTTGCAGTGCATACAAACCAAATTAAGATTATACTTATTATTAAAATCCTACCGAACCTTTCATGAACTCCTCATAGGTCACAAAAATGAGGAATCGAAAAGTTGTGGTAATAGTGATATTCGCGCCGGTGTCCTGCATACTGGGCTTGGACACATTGGATTCCTCACGGTCTAACCGACCGAAATCGTCGTTACCTCTTGACCCCAAAGATTCAAAGTGCCACAAAACCATTACAGAGTGTATAGAACCTAATCCCATACACAAGCTTCCTCAGCAATGACAAGTCAGGCGATACAGCGTGTAGTATACGGTGTCTGTCAGTTTGATTGATTCATATGTAAGTATTGGTGATGTGCAACCTTGCTTACTGGGCTTTGGCTCATGAGCTTTGTTTCTGTTTTCCATCCACAGAAATTGTCGTGAACACCTGCCTTCGGAGAATCACTGTCCCCTGGTGCTTCCATAGCGTGCATATTACATAATTGGCGACCACGCCAGGATGGTTGCCACACACAGAGTAGACCTACCACAGAGATCCTGGCTTTACATATTTGCATAAAGGCCTCAGAGCTAGCACGTTGTTCATTCACACACGGTAGCCGCAGCCCCAGATACAGCAACCTCTGCACACGCTCACCAGCTGAACGCACCACACCACTAGCACCGGCCGGTTCACGTAGGCCATGGTACACCGGGGACGGTGTTCTTCAAAAAGGAGGCCAGTGTAGTATACGGTGTCTGTCAGTTTGATTGATTCATATGTAAGTATTGGTGATGTGCAACCTTGCTTACTGGGCTTTGGCTCATGAGCTTTGTTTCTGTTTTCCATCCACAGAAATTGTCGTGAACACCTGCCTTCGGAGAATCACTGTCCCCTGGCGCTTCCATGGCGTGCATATTACAAGCGCGTGCCAATTCAAATTCGCGCGTAGTCGGCCAGGAGATGGGGCTGCAATCCCGTTTGCAATGTGGGCAAACTCCGATTGGTTGGAAATATGAACGAATAGATAGCCGCATGCTAGAACTGCCAGAACTGCTACCCAGGATGTGGGAAGTGAAATTGTTTCTCGTGACATGTTTAAGCCATTCAGTGGTGTATATGGACTGCTAAGATGGATGACATTTCAAGGTAAACAGAAAGCTTGAATCAGGAACTAGTATCTGCTGGAAATGAAATGAACCAAAAATGTAGTTACCTGGTTGACTCTGGGAGAAGGGCATCTTTGTGTAAAATGCGTGAGAGTCATGCGACACGTCCTTCTGTCCGGATGGTTTGCTTGACACAGAAACAACATAAAGTAAAATCCAACACAAAGCCCCGGCTATTTGGGTCTGTTTCGCTATTTTATCGATCGTGAAAATTTTGCTCTGCTACCCTTGCCCATCCCATGTTTAAGCCACTTGGATGTTTCACGCACAGGTGAGTTTTCTGCGTAAAACGGTTATTCTTGTTGTTCTGTAGACCATCTCCTGCGCTCGTGAGGGCCATGTTTGGCACCCACAAACACACATCCGTAAAGCTTCACCAGAAAAAAGCCATATCATAAGCAAAAACAAAATTCATCCATAAAAAGTCTACTAGTAGTGCAGGCCAAAACTGGCGGTGGCAGTTGCGCACGAACTGAGACATCAGGACTTCTCCGAACTCGTCGCCCACAAATGACCGTGCCACAGAAGACGACACTCTGTATTCCAGGTAATAAACTCCCCCATAGTTACTTGATAGATAATAGAAAACCTGCGGTACAAGATTTCACCACCCTTTTGCTCTGGAAGGTGTGATAAATAGCGAAGCAAATTTGGTGTTTATCCCTTCCTTCACAAGACCATAATTTGCAGCTGACGCTTCCTGTCCGATTGTGACCAGAAATCGTGCCTTCCGGCTTCGCGTGGTTCCTTAACCCTTTCTGGAACTGGGGTCCGATTACCGCTTGCAAAGCAAAGTAGCTCTGACGCTTTTAGGCCTCGCAACTTTTTATATACAAATTGATTATCATCGCCATTTTTGGGTAAATGCCTTCTTCATGGCTATCAAAAGCGAAAAAGTGGGCCGGATACACTCTTAGGATAATTCACTCTCGTAGGTTTTCTGGTCTGTATCTCATGGTGGACAAAAAAGTGGACAATTACAACACACGGCAGAAGATAACAGGGTAAGTTCATTTCGAACGTATTTTGTCAGCGCTGATGTATTATGGGTTCGGTTGTTTAAGCCTACTTGACATCAGGTGCTGGTAATTCCCCACCCAAAACTCCAAGTTTTTAAAGCTTATCACATACACCGCATAAGTCTTCGTCCCATGATCCACTCATTTGGATAATGAACGTCAAAACTCTTAAGCATTGGTTTGCTGACATCACATCTACTCACATTCAAGCAGGTGGGTTTAAATTAAACGATTGGGCAAACATTTTTATAATCACGCGTATGTGCATGAACATGTTTGCCTCTAGGGAGGAGGAGATTCGATGAGAACAGAATGAACGCCCTATAAGCGAGTAGAGTGCTGTGAGTAAGAGCTAGTCTGTACAGCAAGAACGAAGTGCGAAACGCATAATTGAGTCCATGTTCGACGATAGTGAGTCCCGATGCTAAAACGGTGGTTTATAATAGCAAATGGGGCGCGGAAAATCTGGAGAAAACACTTTTGCCCTCAACCCAAGGCAGACGAGATGGTGCGGGTGCTTTAAGATGGACAAACAATAAAAAACTGAGGCTGGAGTTGGATTTGAAAGGGTACATACAGGGTGGCTATGAAGTTAAAATCGAGGGAAGGGACCCAAATCTCTATGCGTGGGAAACCACAGGACGATGGCCTACCGTTAAAAGCTTTAACCAGTGTTTTATCACGTTGACGCCAGGGCAGCCGGCAGCTGTTGCATAACAGAGGTTGCAAACAGAAAATGAGTACGTAGTGACATAATTTTGATTATAAGTGCTTATGGTGGATCGGCTTGGATGAATGAGCACATCGACACATCTTCAGAGGGCTAGAGTTGAACAGAAGATAATTTGAGGCATCAAGCTCAGCAAGTTTTGACTAAAAACTTGCACCATCTGCCCAACTAATTCATGGCGCGAACATGGTATGATTTTCGAGCTCGGTGCATTAACTTTCATTAGACAATTTTATCAAGACGGGCAGTTGATGTGCGGAATAACTTTCATTCTCAGGCTGCGCCTGGAAGCCAGTTCGGGGTACATTTGAATGCCTGTTCATGTGAGTTCGCCCACCGGCAAGTTTGCTTTTCATCGCTAGGAAAGTCACGAGAAATACCACCTCCTATCGCTTCTGCCTCTCGGATGAACAGAAGTTACTGAACGACAGGAAAAGGCCGACCCGGAAAGCTCGGGCCAAAACCTTGTCTAATGTAATAACTTTGAGTCTTCGAACGATTACTGGCCGCATAAATAGTAGGATATATTAGTTGGTGGTATCTTGGATTTCAGGGTAGCAATACGGGCGGTCTGGGTATGCAGCCAGTCATGTCTATGGGATGAACGGTCATTCTTGGACTATTGAAACCTGATATTCAGGATCACCCAGAAAGCCTGCAATCAGTTCGTGTTGCACCGGCCTCAGTAAATTATCGCCGCTTGCTAGAAGCGAACGGATGCCGCAGTGCTTTTGATATTTAGAATTTTGCCCATATTTAGTCTATTTTGACTGCATCCTTCAGTGCCATGTTTCTCAGCGATTTTCTTTTGAACAGAACAAATGGCATGACCAGCAAACATAGCTTATACATTAGTGGCCTTTCCAAAAAGCAGTGTAGCAGTCACTAACTAGGTCACGCGCCACAAACGCCAAGATCAAGCAACAATACTGTCCTACTTGCAACCTATACAATACAACTTCCCATCCATTTTTGCTTACATGAGCACCATCTGCGCCACGCGGCAGCCTTACCACTTTCAACCACATCAGGCCAATTTGTATTCGTGTTTGTGCAATGAGCGAATACAAGTGGACACCAGTCTCTTCACAGTGCACGCAAAGTACGGGCATGCAGCTCGGCCCATACCACACCCAGACTCACGCACAAAAGACAGAAAGTCAACCAAGCTCCACGGGTCTCCTCGGACAGTCACAGAACATGTGTAGCAGCTATACTGCTGAGAAGACACGTCCCGCGTTTCAAAGTTCACTCGGGAACTCTAAACAGTTGTCTTCAAGAGATAACTCACTTTTCGGCTTAGTGCCTTCTCGCAATGTATTTATCCTTATCAAGTGCGCATAACATAATTCTGGCAAAAGAGATATTTGTTTTTCACCCTCAGATAACCAACCTAACTACATTACAACGAGAGCACTAACAGCATAAACCCAGATCAAGCATATTATAGTGCTCCTAGATGCGTCCGATTTCCGAAAGAACTTTACAAAATTGTGATGCGCGTTCCACGCTTGCATGTGTTTATCTCGTCCGGTGAAACAAAATAAGTAGGTGGGCTCAAAGTAAATTGGTAGATTGCTATGCTGTTTGAACCTCAGCTTGCGTTGGGTAAAATATCGAGACGCCTAAAATCCCTACACAGCACTTTTCACCTCTGAATTATCTTAAAGGCACTCATAAAAGCGGTTTTATTTTTGCGATAGAACCTGCATCACTGGTATTCGAAGACCTCAGTATCCCTCAAAAATCTATTCAACAGTGTAACAACAGGATGATTTCGTGAGCGAGCGGGGGCCCGGTGTCGGGTCTGCCTTTCATGCACTAGAAGAGACTAGAGAATATTCGTACGTTATCCAACATTTGTGTAGAGTTTGCCCCGCGTTAATTTACAACAAGTAAAACTACAGAAAGATGCTATGGAAGTACTCATTTCTCACGGACACTGGTTTGGCAGCAATCCGTTGGACTTCTGTTGAATTTTTGAATTTGTGGAATATACCTCCAAACAGCACAGTTCAGTGTAGTCATAGCAGCGGTCTAGACCGTCTATCATATAAAGTAACAATAAAAAAGAAGCCCTCAAAACAGTCTGAGGGGCGTATCATATTTAGAAATAGAACGAAGTCTTCTTCATCTCGTGTTTCGAGTGACAGGTCTGAAATAGTACTATAAAATTAACTGATCTTAAAACTGTTCCCTACGTTACAGCGATCGAACTGGCGGTTCTTCACTGTTGGCGAGTGTGCCCGACCATGTGCCTGAGAATTCAGTTGACGGTATACATTTTGGTGCGCTCCGTCACGAAGAGACTGGACCTTACCGTGGTGTAACGATTTGCGCAACTCAGCGATCCATTGAGCTATACTGGAGAGTTTCCCGCGACACTCAAAGAGTCTCTCATACCAGGTTGGTCAATGGTTAGAGGTCTGACGAACACAGTCTCCTGGCCCTCCAGGTTGGGGGTTGGAACATGTGGCGACTTGTTCCGTAGAAATGGTAATGCATTTGCATTTCCCGCCAAACACCGCTGCCTTGCGGTTAGGCTTTTGAGCCAAAGGCTTTGGATGAAGGCCCTAATCGTTCTCCAATCTAGGTGTGGGCGCCCTGGCAGTATCCCCATTTGCATTCCCGCCAAACACCGCTGCCTTGCGGTTAGGCTTTTGAGCCAAAGGCTTTGGATGAAGGCCCTAATCGTTCTCCAATCTAGGTGGGGGCGCCCTGGCAGTATCCCAGCCCACGTACAACCATGAATTGCACATACACAAATAAACTCATGCCACATCGGCCGTCGCGTGGTGCCATCAGCCGGGTCGCCTTACTTGCTGCATACAGCAGGG